GGGCAGTGGACCGTGCATTTCACGGAATTAACAGATTCCAAATGACAGGCGCAGGTTGTCCTGTTTTTGTTGAGTTTCACTCTCTGGATGGCAGACTCCGCGGGGACCAGCGACCTCACCTCCTTCCCAGCCTACAACGCTGCGCCTTAACGTGTGACCAAACTTTGCAGCCACACTTGCTGAAAGCTAGGGTTTAAACCTAATTCATTCTGCAAGGCTGAAGAGGGGAAAAAAGCAGTTTAGACTCACAGAAGCTTGGCCATCAGTTTCTTCCTTCCAGAAGTGGAAAAGCCTGAGCGTGTGGCCTGTGCTGGGGGCAGCGAGCATGCCTGTGAGGGTGGCGTGGACGCCTCTTCTCCCGGAGGAGGGTGCTCAGGGCCTGTTCCTTCTGCTTTTGCTCCTCTAAGAACTGCTGTCTGTACATGAGGCTGGTGGGGCTTGCACCGGGATAGTACTGAACAGCAGCCTGCACGCCTTCCTCCAGCGCTATTACACACGGTGGGGGGGCAGCTTCAGGGAGAGGCCAGCCCCACACCTATGCAGTGGAGAGGGGAGACAACCAACCTCACATGTGTATTGGGAGTGCAGGCACCTGTCTGTCACCTGGGAGGGAAACATAGGAGCAGGGGTCTTGAACAAAGAAGCCCGGCCTCCCTCATTTCCACCACAGCCCAGAGGAGCTGAGGGGCGGGGAGGGGGCAAGCTGTCCTCTCACAAATGAAAACCACAGTGCTCCCCGCCCTTCGGAACAGGGGAACCCAGCTCATTGCTAACATCATCTGGCCTGGAAGGTGGCCGCACAAACCTACGCAGAATGCGGAGCCCGCGAATGTGTGGGTGCCCCACCCAGCGCCTTTGTGCAGCCTGGGTGCCACCTAGTGGAGTCTACCCTAGTTCTTAATTCGAGACCGTGTCCGGCAGGGGGCTTCTGGTCACATGCTGTGGCAGGGCAGCAGTACCCCCCCCAATTTATATGGGCAAAAATGCCACCTGGCAACACTGCCCGGTGCAGGAGCAGGCACCAAGCCCTCTCTCTCTTCTCCTTCAGCGCACCCCAATCCCTATCCTGGGGACCCGGGCTCAAGATCCGCCCCCAAAGCCACCTGTCTGTGATGCACAGCAGAAAAACAAAGTCCCGCACAGATTTCCAGATCTCTGTGACAGATGCCAGGGGAAGGTGCATCGTCTCAAGGCAGGTAACATTTTACCTTATGTTTTGGCTGGAAGAGCCTAAAGCCAGGTGGAGAAAATGATAGAGGTCTTCGAGGTGACAGCCTGCCACTCAGTACAACCTGCACTTCCGTCTCGCACTAGGCGTGCTGAGCTCAGGGCGGAGGGGCGTTCGGCTCCAGGGGACAACAGGGACACCCAGAAGAATTAGGCTTTCCCAGACGCAACTGTTCTTCCCTTTTCACCTAGCGCAGGAATCTTTCAGAATACCCCAACTTTGCGGGCTGAAAGGAAGGCACGGCTCAATACTTCCGCTAGATGGCACTATCTCCCCCCGAATCCGTCCGCTGGACACCCAATTTATAAAACAAATACAATCCAACGCCTTCCGAAACCGCATAATAGCAGCTCACAGGCTTCCATTAAAATCCCAATTTGGGGAAATTGATTCTACCTCCGAGCAAGTCTAATGCAATTATAATTAATAAGATGCAATCAAAGGTTGCATCCTAGGGCGCTTCAAGGGCGCCCTCCCCCTAAATACACCTGTCCCCTTACCCCAGTTTATGCCCCCGGATGAGCCAGGGTGTAAACCAGGAGCCGAGCTCCGGCGGAGCCCTGCACGCTGTGCCCGCCTGGGAACCCCCGGGGAGCTCCACCCCTTCCTCCGCGCATCCCACGCCGGGCGCTCGGACCCGACCCAGTGCCCGGAACGTGCCC